GACCTCATCTTCAGAGTATTACCTAAGACACCAGTTGCAAATGAATGCGAGCTCCATCGGACAATCAGCCTAATGAGCCACATAACCAAGCTAATAATCCGAATCATGATGAATAGAAAGCGAAAAAGAATTAAACTGAAAATAAGAACAGTGGGACTTTTTTCAAGGACACCGGCACAAGAAATGTGATATTTAGGATTAGAGTGATATCAGGGAAAGCACTACAAAAGCAAAAGGATTTACACTTCCGTTTTATAGATTACGCAAAGGCCTTTGACAAGGTACGGTACAAGGATCTATTTGAACTGTTAGGAAAACTCGATCTATTCGGAAAGGATGTTAGACAAATCGGGAACATATTACTGAGATTAAACTGACTGCATACGGATAGAAAACGAATTGAGGAGGTACACAAAAATAGAAAGGGGCGTACCACAAGGATTTGTCTTCTCTCCAACTCTACAGCGAGGCTATCCAAAGAGAGTTCGAGACCTTACTAAGACTTATCGAGGGACATAATCTTAACAATATAAGATACGCAGATGAGACAGTGCTGATGGCAAACACAGAAAGAAAACTGCAGGACCACAGACACAAGGTAGTAATGGATAGCAAGAAAAAAGAATTCGCCATCAATTGTAAAAAGACAGATAATATGGTTGTCACCAAGAGAAAAAGCCCAAGATGCGAACTCCAAATTGAAAATGCCAACATCAGACAAGTACAGAAGTCTAAATATCCGAGAAGTGTTTTCCCAGAGGATAGAAATTGTGACACCGAAATCCGAACTTTCATTGGATTAGCGAGAAAATACATTCCAAAAGCTAAGTAAACTGCTAAAAAAACAGAACGTTTTCGTTAAAAACAAAAAAAAAGAGTATGCGACTGCTATGTGATGTCCATTCTCTTGTTTGGCAGTGAATATCGGACAATCTTCTCACAGACGAAAAAGGAGTTGGTGCCAACAGAAATATGATTGTATAGAGGTATACTGAGAATTCTATGGATGGAATGAATAGGCAACGAAGAAGTCTTAAAGAAAATGATAACAAAAAGAAGAGTTATACGTAGAAAAAGATAGCTGTAATTTCTTTAAAATAATGAAGAAGGAGGCTTGAAAAATTTAACTCTCTCAAGGCATATCAAGGGCAAGAGAGATAGGGGAAGGCAGCAGGCCACCTACCTGATGAGCTAATTCGAATGGATGTCGAAACGGTGGACGAAAGGCTTGCCAAAGAGTAAAACTTCTAAGGATCACGAGAGATAGAAAGTTGTGTAAAGTCATGATCACCCACGTCCTGAAGGGAACAGTAGTAGTAGTAGTAGTAGTAGTAGTAAAGAATAATAATAAGAAGAAGATACAAATTTTATTGCGAAAACATAGATTCTCACAATAAAATATCTGACATAGCGTAGATTCACATTAAATTAGTGAAGGTTTGTTTTAAAATAAAGAGCTTAATGGCAACCCTAATTTTGCACAAACTGGAGAAAATGGGACATGAGTTTATTTTTTATTTTTATTTTTTTATTTTTTAATCATTTCACCCCAATCAAGGCGATATTGCCACGAAAACACGAAGACTTACTGGGAATGAAAGAGAATGAGAAGACTTTAGAAGGAACCAGAAACGCAATTCAAAACAGGAAACAAGGGATAAACTTCTACTCCTGTTCAAAAAACGAGGAAAAGGTGTAAAGCTGGAAATAAACTTCTATTAGAAAAAGTAAAGAAAAAAAAATTTTTTTTTTGAAAAATGTTAAATAAAATTTCGCAGTTTATCCGGAGACGTTAAAAGTGCAGAGTTAAGCTAAGATCACGTGCAATTCAAGAGCAAGTATTCAAGTAGGGACAATTAATCATATAACTGCAGTTCATTTATTAATTCTAACTAATTACAGGTTACGATGGGTAAATTGACGCTATTTTACATCTTTAATTACGCGCATGCGCGTTGTTTGCTTTTCATTTTGTCGACTGTGCAGTATATTAGGGTCAGTTAGGCTTGCCTGTAAAAAAAATAGCAACAAGACGCAATTCACTCTGCCAGAAATTTGTAACGGCATACTGCACTTTGGCATTCGAGTCGGAAGCTTCAATACGAATATTTCAGAATGTTTGGAGGACAGTTTGGAGGATTCGGAAAGAGCTGGAGGAGTCAAATGGTGATTACGAAGACGTTTGGAATCATCACTAGTAATGGCGAAGTTATGCCTCCATTCATCTTCCCAGATGACCTCAGACTCAACACGGAGGCCTACATCAAGTGCTGCATGAGGTAGTGCTGTCCTATGTCAAGTGGGTGGCTGTTGGAAAATCCTATATCTGGTAACAGGACTCTGCACCATGCCACACAAGTAGGAGAATATAGTCATGGCTATCAGACAATTTCTCCGACCAGATCACCCCTTACATCTGGCCACCTAACCCCTCAGACTGCACCCCACTTGATTATTATGTGTATGGCGCAGTTGAGCGATAAACCAACAAAACTTCTTGTAACACCAAAGATGAAGTGACGGTAAGGATAATGGCAACATTCACTACATTAAACAAGGAGACTGTACAGAAGAGATGCAGGAGATTCTGAAGTCTTCTAGAGTCCGTGGTTGAAGCCAATGGCGATTTTATTGAATAAATTTACTCTTTAGTGTTTCAAGATATTTTATGTAATTTTGGTAAATATGTCTGTTATTTTAATTTTTCCGTAATTTAGACATTTTATCCATCACACCCTGTATTTGAATATACAGTCTGGATTCAGATTTTTTTTTCTTTGTTATATCCGCAAAATTCTACTTTGTGAAATCATTACAAATAAGGTTGAAGAAAATTAATTATAAGAAGTTAAAAAAATAAAAAGAAAGAGAAAGTATGAAGGAAAAGAATTGCATCCGTGAATGAAAAGAAAGAAACTAAAATAGATTGAATTTTTAATTAACCGCTTTCCGGCAAATTATTTTGGGAAAAAATAATTTATTTTCAGATGAAAAAATATTATTTGTTTTTAATATAGTAACTAAGAAACTTGTAGGATTTTAATTCTACATCATTTTAAATAGCTGAAAATAACTTGTTCAAATTTATGCAAAAAAAGTGGATCACAGAACCTTGGTATTTCTCAGATACCTGATTGGTCAATTAATGCTAAGATCATGTTTTCCACTACGTCCGAATTGTATCGACTTAGTTTCGAGCCTATCACGTGACATACAACATTGTAAATACCAAGCGACATCTTCAACTCTTTCTCTTTTTCCTCTGTTTTTCTCAGGACCACAACTATGTAGTTCAGTGAAGAGTTTACATCTGTCCCTGATGAGAAGATGCTATCACACACACACACACACACATTCGCGCACACACGTACACACGTACGTACAAACAATGAACATCTCTTAACTCATCAACTACAAGCAACAGAAACTTATTTACTTCAAAATCTTCTAGAGCTATAAGTTACGATTCAACACATTCTCAGCTTTCCAGAATTTTCTCACTCATATTCATCTCTCTTAGGTGAGCAATCTATGCAACAAGTTAATTCAACTTTTCGATATTCAAGTGAATATTACAGTTTCTCTCAATTAACAAGTTTCATTGAACTCATGTTACACCGATATTCAGCCTACAACCCTTTCTTATCGAAGAACATTCTTTTCCATTGAAACTTACTATTATTTCATGTACTGAAATCTTTTCTGTGAGTTCAGATAAAAATATTTCCTCTTAAAAGGCTTTAAAAATTTCAAGTTAAAGGAAAATAACTCCTGCTATTAATTACAACTCTTTCTATATAAAAATCACACACTTGATTGTTTTGTATATTGTGGAATCTTCCACAACAGCCAATCACCCCTGCTAGGAAATGCACTAATCCTGAGTGACTTTCACCATCGCCATCTTACAAAATATATAACAAGCATTCATTGGTTAATCACCTTCAATCTAGCTTGCTGATTGGTCAGTTTCGACCAATCAAATCACCCCCACGCGACAGATTTATTTTGGCGCCAACTCAGTCGGAGCCTCCCACGTGATACACGATCTTATATAAACAAAACACGTTTAAGCTCCCGTGTGTTTCTTTTCATTCATCTTTCTCCTTGCTGCCAAGATGTAATCTTCAAGAACCCCCGTCTTGACCATGTAGTCAGACGTTAAAGACCATTACCAACATTCACGCAAGTACGAACTCTGAAATCTCTTCTGAATTTTTACCAACTTGTACAATACACAATTCCAAACACGCAACAACTCATTCTTCTACAGTTTAATAATCAACTTTTTCATTATGAGCTTAGGTACAAATATTACCTAGTCTAAGAGACACAACTCTGTCTAAACTTTTCAGTTCACATGCATGTACATCAAATACTTAATAAATTCAATTGTTATGTTTTGAAATCATTACATTCAGTTTTGTATTTTATACTATGTGCTATTTACGTCAAATATAAATTGCATGGCATCCACACATTGTCTTTAACCCCATCTTTCTTAGCCAAAGTTAAATATATGTAGTACACACCGTTACAATATTAGTAACACTGTCGTTACAATACCATATAATAAAATGAAGTTTGTTTGTTATTATAAAAACAGTTTTTGCGTTGTTTCTCTTGTTTGCTTTCCGTTTACTGACACATTTGTAAAATAAAAAAAAATGTACGGATTGATTTGAGACCATTCAATACCCCGACAAACTGTTGCACCTTGAAGTACCCGAGCGGTGACTAACATTTCTACCAGACGTATGAGTTGACAATTGGACTCATTTCAAGCTCAGAAGGGCATAAACAGAAACATTATCGACGTATAATCATGTTTCTAGCTGGTTTTTGACGTGTTTATTCGTCCCTGTCTGAAAAATGACACTTTCGGTAAAAAAACGTATATACACGTCTATGCCAGGGCAGCGGTTAAAATAAGGGAAACGCATATGAATAAAATGAAGAGAGAAACGTTGTATGGAAATGAGAGTGAAAATGCAGAAAGATTAAAAAGAAGGAAAGGAAAGAAAAAATAGAGTGCGGAGATAACGAGAAAAATAAATAAAGACGGAAGAAGGAAAAGGAAGCAAAAAAGTAGAAAACGAGTAACAGTAAATAAAGTGATCGAAGGAAAGGAAGGAAGAGAAAAAAAGTAAAGACAGTAAAATAAATAAAGAGAAGAAAATAAGAGAATGGATAAAAAGAAAAAAATCGTAGATGGTGAGAAAAGGAAAAACAGTAAAATAAATACTGAGAAGAAAGAAAAGGAAGCAAAAAAAAAAGAAATCGATAAACAGTAAAACAGAGAGACGGAAGGAAGAGAAGAAAAGAGAAACAGTAGAATAAACAGAGAGACGGAAGGAAGAGAAGAAAAGAGAAGCGAGAAACAGTAGAATAAACAGAGAGACGAAAGGAAGAGACGATATAAAAAGAAAAGGAAAGAAAGAGAAGAAAATGAGATATAGTAAAATACATAGAAAAGCAGAAAGAATAGAAAGATTAAAAAGAAAAGAAGAGTGGTGAGATAAACAATTCTCAAAAGAAGAGAACAAAGGAAAGTAGACAAAAATTACAACATGATCTCAGGCACTTCCCTGATTTGGCCCAAATTATGACATGATCACAGACAATTCCCTGATTTGGCCCAAATTACGACATGATCTCAGACAATTCCCTGATTTGGCCCAAATTACGACATGATCTCAGCCACTTCTCTAATTTGGCCCAAATTACATGATCTCAGCCACTTCCCTAATTTGGCCCAAATTACGACATGATCTCAGACATTTCTCTGATTTGGCCCAAATTACGACATTATCTCAGACACTTCTCTGGTTTGGGTCAAATTACAACATGATCTCGGACACTTCCCTGAATTGGCCAAAATTACATGATCTCGGACACTTCCCTGATTTATGATATGATCTCAAATACTTCCTTGATTTAACCAAAATTACGACATGATCTCAGACACGTCCGTGATTTGGCAAAAATTACGGCATGATTTCAAACACTTCCCTGATTTGGCAAAAAAACTTAGTAAACGCTAGTAAATAATATATTTCATACATTAATTAAATTTGGCCACCGTAGCTTTAGAAATAGTCCCCTTAGAAAATTATACAACAAGTGCAAAGAGCCGAGGAACTTCACAGCAATACGATGTATATTCTGGTGTTCCGTGAGGATCTCCGGGAAGATTCCATAATTGATTTTACTCATTTGAGCGCTGATGGATTGTTCGTCAGTGATTCTCATGGATGAGTTCAAGGATTTCTTTACATATTTTCTGCTGTTTTTTTTCTTCTGGTAATTGGTTGTCTTATACGCTCATCAGCATGACCAGACACTCGACCGGCCTTGAAGCGCCCCTGCCATTCAAAAACACTTGTTCGTGTTCAGCCGAAAGAACTTTCGTCAAAGACATGGCGAATCATTTCGAGGATTCTCGGTAGTAGATTTGATGAGCTTCGAGGAAGAAAAGAATGATGTCAGCTAACGCAAAGATTGCAGAGCCGTTCCAATATAATGAATGTTACAATCACAATACGTAGACTTGGAACTTGATGTCGCGCAAATTTGTCAGCCGTTCCAACATAACATTACAAAACCACGCATGATAATCGAACACGAGTAGAAAGTAGGAAGCCAATTGGCAGACTGGTTCAGTAGATTTTGGTAGCTACAAATATTAGATGTACGCGCATTTATCTTAATCACAATAAATACCGGCATTTTTTTATGCCATCTCGTATACGCGGGGTTACTCCATTTTCTTCCATTGGGGGGGGGTCCAACATATTTAATAAAAGAAATTGAAGATTAATAAGGATAATATTGATAATGTTAGCCGTTTCCTTATAAGGAAAATTTTGACGTTCATTGAGCGAGCAGCCATGGCCGCTGTCGATTGAAATTTAAAAAATATTTCTCTTTAAACAATTTTTTCGCGAAAACAAGTTCCTCAAGTCCATTACCTGTCAAGTTCCTCAAGTCCATTACCTATCAAGGCCCCTTCCATTATTGACAAAGGTGGTTTCCTTGCTAACATTTTATTTGAAGTAGTGTAAAACATCGGCAACTTCATTATTATTTTACTTGACATTATTTTCTCGTTGAGTTACACGTGCTACCCATTTTAGTTGATGCTGCTGTTGAAAGTCCTCAAGTGAATATATTGTATCTGCTATCTGGTTCTTTGCGACTATCGCCTGTTCACGAGGTTGAAAGAAGGATTGTCTTCGCCATAAGCCATAGTCTTTACTTGCTTAAAGTCATTTTCAGCCATTGATCTTAGAAAATGGTTGCATAGTGCTGACAGTTTAGATATTTCTGAATGGGTTTGTCACCATGCATTACATCCATATGAATGTTTCGATCTGTCTGGATAGATAGATAGATAGATAGATAGATAGATAGATAGATAGATATGTCCTCAAAGGGACTGGTAAGTAGATATATATTGAAAGAGATAAGGATAGATAATGGTAATGGTAATATTAGCTGTTTCCTTATAAGGAAACATTTGGTATTCATTGACCGAGCAGCCACTGCTACCTGTCGGTTGAAATTTATAAAATCTTTTTCTTAAAACAATTTTTCCGGAAAACAGTTCAGTAGCTGTTTTAGCCCTTTCAGTATTAATGGGGGTTTCTTTTTCTAAAATTTTGTTGAGATTAATATGGAACATCAACATCTTGAATGTATCATTATTTTCTTTTCGAGTTACATGTACTATTCATTTTAATTGTTACTACTGTTGAATGTGAAGTAGTTTCTGTTATTAGGTAGAGTTCATTGTTTGTGATTCTGTAGCGCCAAACCACGAGGTTCGAAGAAAGTAGGTTCTCGCTGAGACCTACTGGATTTGTCTTGAGATATCAGTAACGCATTAGTAAAAGCTAGGTACCCTATTGCTAGAGAAATAGCATTAGCATCAAAACCGTATTGTGAGGGTAAGTTCGTGAAAACATGCATACTGAAGGCAGCAGAAATTGTATGCCCTGAGAAGCGACAGAATTTTACTAAAATTAGCCTGACAAGAAACACTGTGGCAGATAGGATTTCAGATCTTTCTGCAGATTTGAACAGGCAACTGAAGTACAAAGTCAAGTCATTTATTGCATTTTCGGTTGCAATTGATGAGAGCACAGACGTCACGGATGTTGCGCAACTGGTCATAATCATTATTGGTGTAGACGAGACTTTTACCGTCACCGAGGAATTTCTGGAGTTGGTCCCTATGATGGACACCACAACAGAAAATGACATTTTCATCTCGCTCGTTGGAACGCTGGACACGGTTGTAGAGGACTGGACCCATGCTGTCAGCGTGGTTACAGATGGTGCTCCATCAACGATTGGAAAAAAAGCAGGTGATGTAACGCAGTTCAGAGAGAAAGTACAAACTGCAAAAGGAGGATGTTATTTTAGATATTTCACTGCATTTTGCACCAGGAGGCATTGTATTGCAAGTCGTTAAAAATGGACGACGTCATGGAAGTGGTTGTCCGAACTGTTAATTTCATCCGAACTAGAGGTTAGAATCACCATCAGTTTGACAATCTTCTCAGTAATACAAACGTTACCTATGGCTTGTCATATCACACCGTGTTAAGGTCATTAAGCCGAGGTACTGTATTGAAGCGTTTTTTTTTTAATCTACGAGACGAAATTGAACAGTTCATAGAGAAAAAGGGTAAACCAGCGTTAGAATTTCGATCACCAGATTGGCTGCAAGATTTAGCATTTATCATAGACATTACAGAGTACTTGAATAATCTGAACAAAATGCTGCAAGGCTGTAAAAACGTTGTCACGCCATATTTTGAAAGCATACACGCATTCTAGTTAAAGATAACTTTGAGGGAGACACAACTGTAAAATTTCTCAAATTTCTTGATAGATAGATAGATAGATAGATAGATAGATAGATAGATAGATAGATAGATAGATAGATAGATAGATTATATGAAAGTACCCCAAATTGAAAGCTCTTGCTGCGAAAGTTTTGTGCATGTTCGGGACTACCTACCTATTCATTTTCCTTGTCTAAAAGATGTGGTTGCGACAGCAGATAATGTTCACATGAATCGGTACAAAAGCAATATCACGGGATTGAAGCGAGAGTTTGAGGAACGGTTTCAGATTTTTAATGAACTTGAAACAGATTTCACAGTTTTCAGCTCACCATTTACAGTCAACGCCTCTGGTCAGCCCATGAACATCCAACATGAAATGATTGACTTGCAATGTGATTCAGATTTGAAGAAAACAAATTTACCTCAGTGTGCTTGGACACTTTTATCAGTATCTCTTGCGAATGTACCCCATATTGAAAGCTCTTGCTGCGAAAGTTTTGTGCATGTTCGGAACTACCTACCTTTGTGAACAAGTTGTCTCTCTAATGAGCATCAATAAAACAAAGCTGCGCTCAAGGCTCACACATAGGCACCAAAATGACGTCCTGAAATTGGTTGCTACTAAGGATTTGATGTCTGATATTGGTGCACTTGTTAAGGGAAAAAGATGCCAATTTTCAGGAACATATTGAAAATCAATGATAAAAAATAATATGATAACCCAGTCTTCTTTAACAGCTCCCACTTGTTCAATATTTTTGCCAAAAAATTGTTCTTTAAACATGAAAATTTTCAGAGGGTACTTTTACACTAAAACAAAAGGATAATTTTGAGTTATAGGTTCTTATGCCACGATTTTACTGGTCCGTCCCGATTGAAATCAATTTGGGTTGATATGTGAGCCGTGAACTAAAAATGAGTCTGACACCCCTGATCTAGACACTCTTGTTTCATTTTGTACCCCATAACTTTTGATCTGTCTCTTTCTGATTGTATGTCGACTTTTCCTAGAATTTCCTATTTTCTTTAAGACAGCCTCCTTTCTCACATGTTCTGTCGGTGGTATTCTTAGGATTCGTCAGTAGAACTACATCCCTGTCCCTTCAAGACTATTCTTCATCAGTGAAGAAATTGTCCAGCATTCACTGCTATATATGAGATTAGAAATCATATAGTTCAGAATTTCTTTTCTGTACTCGGTATCGTCAGTTAAGGGTTTAATAAAATATATGTTTCTCTCTTCAAGTGTCCTCCTCGCAAGCATTTTTATATGCAATTCCGTCGCTTTGTCTCCTGATACACCCGTGTTTTACTTCTTATTTTAGTCACTTCCTCTTAGTTCTGTTGTAATATGTGTCTTTTGTAATCAGTCTTTAATCCCTCTGCCTCGTGTAGTCCTCAAGTCATTTGATAACAGATTCAATGAAACCTTTAATGATAACGAGCCTCATTCATCAGTCGTTTCTTTTCACATTAAAATTACCTCTTGAGCTCAAAGATTTATGAATCGTTATCAACTTTCTTGTTCTTCTCTTGTCCAGTTTAAGAAGGGTACTGAATAGTTCACAACAGAAGCTTCTTAAATATTTAATTCTGCATTTTAAATTTAGTTTCTCATATTTTCTTTGTGCATACTGACTGACTGAATCCGCTTACAATGTCCGTTGATGATTGCAATATTTTCTCCCGTTAAATGTCGGGAATGACGCAGTAAAAAGAGGTGGCAGTTTTTAATTTTGTAGAAAGACTGCTGCATATAGGGGGATATAGGGGAAGATGTCGATACCCCATAATAATTGCACATTTTTCTCGTAAACATATTTGCTAGATGCTTTGAAACTAGCACAAGTTGCTATAGTTTTTAAAAGTGGAAAGGTTTGTGCTATTTTTGAAAATCAGCATTCCAAATCCTGGCTTTCTCTGAGCTCAAACACGGATTATTTGCACCGAAGAGAAACATAGAACTTTCTCAAATTTCCAGATAGATAGATAGATATATTGGGATATACATATATAGATAGTTAAGAAAAGGTTGAGATAGATAGATAGATAGATAGATAGATAGATATAGATAGATAGATAGATAGATAGATAGAAACAGCGTTATATATGTAAATAGTTAAGAACAGATTGGGATAGATAGATAGATAGATAGATAGATAGATAGATAGATAGATAGATAGATAGATAGATACAGTCATGTATGAAGGCACATGCTGATTTACACACATACGTATATGTTTGGACTGGGCTATATTAGTACCGATGGTCTGACTATTTCAACATTTACACTATTTCTGCATATTGCGTGATAATTATTGTATTGCTGTATCGGGGAAGAATAGCAACTCTAGACGGTGGAACAGTCGTGCTATTTTGGGAGTAGTTCGTCCGCGCTGGTTACGATCCGCCGCCCAACTTTCACCTCTGACTTCAAATAGCTGCTTGCGTACAACAACGACCACATACTGTTAAAATGTTTCGATTGGATTCAACCCAGGTGAGGGTAGTTGACAGGTCCAAACCCATGATAATTTTGGTTATGTCAACCCTGTGTACATATAACAGCTGATTCCCGGCGGAATGAGTGGATGAGATTAACTTAGAGATCCAACGGCCACGAAGGCGGTATCAGCAAGTGCCATTGAGTGCATCAGACCAAGGATGTGACACGTAGAAGTCCTGGTCATCTACTGCAGCCTGGAGGTCCTCGGTTGTAACGTTTCCTCGTGACACCAGATAAAGACACTAGGCCCAGAAAGCGGGATTACCCCAGTGCAAAATTTTTCCAACTGTATTCTTACCGCCCAGGTTTGTTTTGTAGATTCATCTGGATTCACATCTGTTTTGTAGATTCATCTGGATCCACATCTGTTTTATAGATTCATCTGGATCCACCGATGGATTACAATACAAAGTTTTCTTCTGATACGAATGACAACCACGATGATGACTGTTAGGTTAGCTACCTGACTGGATTGGCTGGGGTCGAACACCTTTCAACATGCTGCCCCTTAGGGATTTAAGTGTAGCTGAAAGGATCCATCAACAATAATTGATTCATTCATTTTATACGACTTATCAACCCTTTGCAGGTTATTTAAAGCCAGAAAATACTTTTGGCTTGTAAGAATTTTTGTTTTGGAAATGATAATTTGTTTGTGTGATACAAGATTTACTAATTCATCCATAGCTGGAGGGAAGAGGTAGATGAATTGGAATTCGGCTCTCCGATTAACAATTCCGAGCCGGCCAATATCCATTAAACCACACACACATCCAAGCTTACAGTACTTGGTATTCCCAAGTAGTTATCCATCTAGATATTGACCAAAGTCGACGTTGATTATCTTTGGTGATCGTACGTGAACCGGTGTTTCAACGTGATGCGGCCGTAAACCATCAACAAGGAATAATACTTTCTGAAACTGTGTGTGCCACAAAAGGTAAAAATGTTGCGTAGAAAAATAAATATCGCTTTTTTACAGTTCCGTATCAAGAGGCTGTGACCTCTAGCTTCATTGTTTTTTTTTTGTTTTTTTTGTTTTTTTGTTTTTTTTCAAAACGCAAAACGGAGTATTGGACAAACAGTATGGAAATGCATGAATGAAACACCTGGCCCAGAGATAGCATCGCGTTCATGTTTCGTGTCTCGGAGTTAGTCAGCCCAGATAAATAACCTTACCTTTGTGTTTTCAGACTTCCGTTTTCTCGACCATTAAAAGTCTGGATAATTCCACTTCTACCAGTCAACCAATCAAGGACAGAAAGCGACCACCAGAATATTCTATGCGCCTTTTTACTTATTTTTTGAACATATCATGTCACCATTATTTTACTACACGCATGCATGTTTAACTTTATAACAAACAAACAAAAAATAGCACTAATCAAATCGACTGATCCACTAGTAAAAAATAGGGAAAAATATTCCAGGGAATATTTTTTTGTAGATTAGCATTTTTAGACATTCCTCAAACCGCGAAATTTGTCAAAATCGAAAAATATTGATGGCGGTGGGAAAGTGACTGAAGCCGAAACGCCAGGATAATCCCAATAATATAACTGGTTCTTTTATTGTATCAAGAATCTCTAAATATATAGCAGGAACACAGAACCATACGTAGACAAAGGCGGAGCTGGGTAAAAAATACTGTGAGGTGCACGCTCTCGGGGAACAGAGACCTGCGGCTGCATCCCGCTCATTGCACCAGCGAAGAGGGATCAGCAGTCATACTGATGCCAGCGCAACCGACAGTTGCGGGAACTGGGCAATTTTTGTCTCTGGCCCGAGTGTACGTGCTCGGGTTCAACACTTTAAACCCGACCTTGGGTCACATCGCGTCTCAATGGGGAGACTAGAGTAAATACTACGTTTCGCGGCCCAGATGACTAAGATCGAAGTGTGGTATCTGTTCCAGCCAGCAATCACCATCTGCAGCTCCAGTTCCTTATCAGCCGCCGCTCCAGCCATATCCAGCAGGTCTGCAGCTGCCGCCGCTCCAAACATCCTCGCAAGCAGCAACGATATGCAATTTCAGGACAACGCTCTTCACCGATAATAAAACTCTCTTTTGAGGACAAAGCTTTACAGCGACTACAAAACTGTCCTTCTCGGAACAACACTCTTCAACGGGAACAAAACTGTCCTTCTCAGGACAACACTCTTCAACGGGAACAAAACTGTCCTTCTCAGGACAACACTCTTCAACGGGAACAAAACTGTCCTTCTCAGGACAACACTCTTCAACGGGGAACAAAACTGTCCTTCTCAGGACAACACTCTTCAACGGGGAACAAAAACCGTCCTTCTCAGGACAACACTCTTCAACGGAATAAAACTGTCCTTCTCAGGACAACACTCTTCAACGGGGAACAAAACTGTCCTTCTCAGGACAACACTCTTCAACGGAACAAAACTGTCCTTCTCAGGACAACACTCTTCAACGGAACAAAACTGTCCTTCTCAGGACAACACTCTTCAACGGGGAACAAAACTGTCCTTCTCAGGACAACACTCTTCAACGAGAACAAAACTGTCCTTCTCAGGACAACACTCTTCAACGGGAATAAAACTGTCCTTCTCAGGACAACACTCTTCAACGGGGAACAAAACTGTCCTTCTCAGGACAACACTCTTCAACGGGGAACAAAACTGTCCTTCTCAGGACAACACTCTTCAACGGGAACAAAACTGTCCTTCTCAGGACAACACTCTTCAACGGGAACAAAACTGTCCTTCTCAGGACAACACTCTTCAACGGGAACAAAACTGTCCTTCTCAGGACAACACTCTTCAACGGAATAAAACTGTCCTTCTCAGGACAACACTCTTCAACGGGGAACAAAACCGTCCTTCTCAGGACAACACTC